CAGCTGGTTCCACAACCATCAAATCTCACAGAACTGGACAGTGCTATTCATCAGGCATGGTGTCAGATTCCTCGCATCACCTTTCAACATCTCGTCGAGTCAATGCCAAGAAGAATCGCCACAGTATTGAAGGCAAAAGGTGGCCCAACGAAGTACTGATGGAGTGGTCCTAATAATCAGGCCCACGTTCAAAGCCTGTTAAATCACGTTGTTTACCCATATCTTCAGAAAAAAATCACTTCTGTCGTGGTAAACAACCTGCTTCCCTATTTATAATGATCTGGCCCTCTAGCAACTTCAGCGCGAAATTATAGCTAATTTTCCTACAAACATCAGGTGGTCATAATAATCTGGCCACTCAGTGTATATATACACCATTTTATACATTCATCCTTCAGTGGACATTTGGGTTCTTTCCACCTTTTAGCTATTTAGGTCTCATGCTGCTGTGAACAAGGATATACAAATATGTCTTGAAACACTGCTTTCAGTTCTTTTGAATAAATACCCAGGACACTTGTTGGATCATATGGTAGTTTTATTTCTAATTTTGGAGGAACTGTCATAATGTTTTTCATGGTGGCTGCACCATTTTACATTCCACCAACAGTGCCCAGAGGTTCTATCTTCTCTACATTCTTGCCAACACTTTTTATTTTCTGTTGTGTGTGTGTGTGTTTTTATTGGGTGTGAGGTTTTTATTTGTATTTCCCTGATTGTTACCTTGAGCATCTTTTCATGTGCATTTTCATCAGCTTATTGGCTGGCCTTCTGTGCTTCTTTGGAGAAATGACTCTTCAAGATCCTTGCCAATTTTATTTTATTTATTTAAAAATATTTTTATTCATTATAGAGAGAGAGGAAGGGAGAGGGAGAGAGAGAGAGAGAAACATCGATGTGAAAGAGAAACATCTATTGGTTGCCTCCTGCATGCACCCTGACTAGGTATCAAACCCACAACCTGGGTATGTGCCCCGACCGAGAATCAAACTGGTGACCCTTCAGTGCACAGGACGATGCTCAACCAACTAAGCCACACTGACCAAGGCTATTTGATTGATTGATTGATTCATTCATTCGTTCATTCATTATAGAGAGTAGGAGGGAGAGGGAGAGGGAGAGAAAGACATCGATTTATTGTTCTACTTATTTATGCATTAATTGGTTGCTTCTTGTATGTGCCCTGACCAGAGATCAAACCTGCAACCTTGGCATATCAGTACAATGCTGTAACAAACTGAGCTATCCAGCCAGAGTTGCCAGTTTTTTTTGTTGGATTATTTGGTGTGTTTTGTTGTTGAGTTACAGAATATAAATATATCTTTTGACAATGCAGTATCTTCTGTGGGCAAATATGCATATTTGTTCACTCATTTGTTCAAGTGCCCAGCAAACATATTTTGAGGGGCTGCTGTGTGGCTGGTGCTCTAAGTGCTAGGATACAGGAATATGACACAAGAGCTGGTCAAGATAATAAGCTGAAATTAAATCCCAGCCAAAGCTAGACAGTATGATTTTAAATTGAGTCAGTGCTGTCCATGCCTTCCCTAGGGGCAGAAGGGGTACAGGTTGCCTAAAATTAGAAGTTGGAAAGAATAATGCAGCAGGAATACCAAAAAAATATATAGACGATTTAAGAACTACTGGGGATGTTATGAAATCTGGGTAGGTAGGTAAATACCTTATGACCTGGGACTGGGAAGGATGAGGTCATGATAAAGCATGTTCAACAGGAAGTAATGGAAGTAGGATGGGGACTTGTAGTTGGATAGAAATTCCTACTCCTGTTTTAGAAGTGAAGCAAACAAACCAGGGAAGAGCTAAAGTGAAGTCAAACTGAGGCCATTATTACGATGCCAGGGTGTGTGAGAAAGTGAACATAGGTACTGGAGTCCCTGCACATTTGGGATTAAGAAGAGTTAACCTTGTTGACAATTTAACCCTTCTGCCAGTGTATTGCATGGCACATAGGAGGTGCCCAATAATACTCAGTGGATTGATGGATGGACAGTTGTCATCATATGCTTTCTTTAGTTCTTTCTGTTGGTTGTATGAGCCAGTAGGCTATGTGCCCTCTCAATCAGATCTCATACCAGTTTGCTCTCTGTAGCCTAACTGGGCGACAAGTAGGAGAGGATGGGAATTTTCAGCTCTTTCGGAGTTAATAAGACTGTTGTGTTTATTAGAATGTTTGTGAATTGCAGTGCTGGAACCCAAGTACATGCAGCATTGTCCACTATTCTATCTGACTCGGGCACACCCTTCGGGGCAGCATTCTGTCCCCTCTCCAGGGAATGTTCTTTCCTGCCATCTCAGCTTGGAAAATCCATCCTCCTTAGCGCCAGGCCAGTCACATTCTTCTGTAAATCTGTACAACGGTTTCGATCCTTCTTCTCTATGAAACCTTGGGGTCCTTATACCGCTGGCATATATTGCACTTTTCTGTCTACTTGTTTTATTTTCCTGAAGGTAAACACTGTGTTTTCTTCATTTTTGTGATCTTCACTGTGCCTAGAATGTAATAGAGACTTGATGGTCTTAACCATTGCAAAAGTTCTCATCAGCGCTGACATGAAAGTATCATGGGTCTTGAATTTAAAGTGGGTTTGGGGATAAGAGAGGGGCTTGGCTGATCTTTCTTTGGAGAAAAATATCTATACAGTGTCTCAGCATTTTAATAAATCATTGATTCCTTTTTTCATTTGAAGGTTTGTTTCAACCATTGAAAAAATTGCCTCAATAATATATAAAATTAAATATATGCTATTAAAAATAAAATACAATATTAATTTTATATAGTACCAACTTTCTCTTTGCCTGGGATGATTCTAAAATCACATGTTATCTGTGCTATGCTACTCATGGGGTCCACAGGCAGGGACATTCTTATAGCAGGAAGGAAATTGGGCAATTTATTGAACTGTTTATAAAAAGAACGTAATGCCGTTTAGATTGGAGAATTTATTTCCAAGTTAATTAGATTGTAGGTTATTGCGCACAAAGCCGTTGCCAAGCACAAACTCGCGCAGCCTCAGCCTTAAAATTGATTCTCCTGATTTGCTCATAATAGCTATGCCTGTGGCTGAAGCTCTTATAAGGAAATATACTATAATTTATTTTCCTTCCCTTCCTACCTGTTGTAATTTAAAATCCTGTCATTGATCTCATTATCTCTTCCCTGTGACCATCTATAAATAATAGCATAGCTGATCATCTGGCACAGGTTTTCAGAGTTAGCACTACTGACTGAAGCTTGCTGGCTCCAGTAATTTGGGTCTGGGTTGTTAGTTGGTCAGTTGTTTTGTTTTGTTTTAGCTTTATGAACTTTTTCTTGCATTAAAAGCAAGTGGGAGGAGTTACCTTATGTTCTATAAGGTTCAGTCATTGATGTAAAAATTAAGAGAGAAGAAAAAGAAGAAGGTGGGTATGGGAACTGAAAAATCAAATGAGAGATTGCATTTGTGCTCGTAGACTTGTACACTCTTGAAGCAGAATCCTTTAGCAGAAGTGTACTTGCCTCCTGTTGTTGAGGATTAGCTCTGTCTGCTCTCATGAGGCTGCGTAGATGTGCTTTTCCTTTTTGTTGTGAATAGATGAGAAAGTCCTTCCCGGTCATCTGCTTACATAACACAAAATGGTGTATTCTTTTAAAGCTGAGATTGGGGTGACTGAATCCTGAGCTAGCTTTTATTTAACTTAGTTGGTGCCAAATCATCGTAACTTAATATTCAGAACTGTCCATGGCTCCAGCCAACATAGTTCATTGGTGACCAGTCGTCAGCGTAGCCTGTTTGAAGGTGAGCTATTCTAGATAGCTTTCCTTTTGTACACATTCTTGTACAAACATTAAATAGCCCCTTCTGCTGGGGCTGATAGACATTTGAAGTGCATTTGCTCTTGAGCCAGTTTTCTTTCTCTTTGACTCTTTTTGTTGTCGACTTTAATCCAGCTTGATCAGCTTAGCTTTAATATGGAAAGAATTTGTATTTCTCTTACCTTTTTAGAAGACTTCATCCAACTCACTACTGTATACAAAATAGTAATATAGTGAGGAAGCTTTCATTCCAATTAAAAAACAGATCAGTAAGTTCCCTCATCTCAGTCGGGCCTCTGCTGAAAGACCCCTGCTCTTTGTCTCGCCCTTATCCCGTAGTTTTACTTCATAGCACTTTGACCACCTGACATTACCGAGTTGTCCGCGCAGATACTAAGTTATTTCTCTCTCCCCTCCCACCTCCGAATGTCAGTGCCACTAGGGCCGGGGTTTTTCTTACTCTCATACTAGAGTCTGTCTGGCCCATTGTACACAACTAACAGGCCTTTACTGAAAAACTGCCTGGCAGCTCAGTAGCTGAATAAATGACTGGACAAACTCTCCTATAGGGGCAGGAGGGAGGGTTAGGAGATACTTGGTGTGTCTTCGGATGCCCTCAGGGGTTGAAGCTGGCCCTTGACCTCACTGTTCCATCGTGTTGTGGCAGTAGAGTAACAAACCTGCAATCCTTTTAAATGGCTCAGCACCGGCAATGAGAGGGAGATACAGACACTTGGGGGCGGTGGTATGTCTTTAAGATTAATCACAATTTTGGTACTAACAGAACCTCTGTCCTGGCCTGCACTTGTGAGGGATTGATAATACCAAAGAAAATTGTTTGTGTATTTTTATGTGTCGTCTACACTGTCTTCAGCAGTGAGTAACAGGCGCCTCTATGGGATCTTTCCTCTCTGTGTAAGGTTCCTCTTGTAAGGAGGAGCCCATCTTGGAAGTTTCTGGAAGCCCCAAACTTGAGTTCCAGGCTCCCTGGTCCTCCTCGGTGCTGCAGCTGGCCTCTCTGTGATGGAAATGAAAGCTGAATTATCTTTAGCCCGCAGTTTGTTTTGAAGTTGAAACCAGGATTAGCTGACCCTGGGGGCTATTTTAAGCAAGTGTCTTCATGTGCTCCTTTTATCTTGATGTTGTCGCTGAAGTGTTGTGAAAATTCTGTTCCTATCTGTCATTCATATTAAAGATCTGGTATCCCCACTTCTCATCTTTGAGACCCCTCAAGACCTCATTAAATTAGAATTCCATCTGCCTGGATCGGAATGAACAAATTCTCTCGCTGCTTCTCCATCACAGCCCTTTGCCTCTTGCTTTCTTCCTTGGCTAATCTTACTTAGACAGCACCCCTGAGCTCTGAGTTTTTTCAGTACAAGCAGTTTCTACTTGCACATTTGGATATTAGCCTGCCTTTTCAAAGCAAGTGATGGCCACCAACTCCTAAGAGGCAACCACAGGACCTGTGTCCTCTCCGCCCCCACCCCCTTCCAGCTAGCTCTCTACTTTCTCTCAGACCCATCAGCTTGAGGATGGCTGAGAATAGCAGTGACTTAACATGTGTGGTCCCGGGAGCACTTCGCCATCTTCCATGTCCTTTAATGCTCACAGCTCCCACAGACTCACGAGAGAGTAGACTTGCAGGGGTTCTGTGATAGCCTCCAGGTCACACAGCTCCTGCCCCAAATCCAGTGTCGATTTGTCTGTCAGGACAAAAGGGAAGGGCCATCTGGTCCACCTCCTCTCCACCTGCCCAAGCCATAGGAACTGGACCACCAGTTATTTGCGGGTCCAGATAATCAGAGCTTCAGGAAGGAGTATGGATTGCTGTACCCCAAACCTGTTGCATCTTCTGGTAGAAATGTCGCTACATTAGGTTATGGCACTAAATTAAATGAGGTAATATATGAACAGAAACTTTGTAAAACGATTCCAGTACTCTATCTATACTCTGGCCTGAGGATCTAACTACTTTTCAGTGAAAGTCCTGAATTTTCATAATACAGTATTGAGGATTCTCTGTTGTACTTTTTAAAACAAATACTCTTAAAAACTATTAAGTCCCTTTATTTTCCTTGAGAGAGGCATGCATGATCTTCTTCGCTTCAAGAGTGAAAGCTTATGTGCGGTTGCCTTTCACTTCCTGGCAGCGCCCCATCATCTCCATCTGCTGGGGCCACCGGGACTCTAGGCTACTGATGGCTTCGGGACCAGCCCTGTACGTGGTGCGTGTGGAGCACCGGGTGTCTAGCCTGCAGCTGCTGTGCCAGCAGGCCATCGCCAGTGCCCTGCGAGAAGACAAGGATGTCAGCAAGCTGGCCCTGCCCCCTCGCCTCTGCTCCTACCTCTCCACTGCCTTCATCCCCACCATCAAGGTAGAGCCCTCCTCCCTCCCTCCCCCTTACCTCCCCCCTCCGCCTCACCCTTGCAAAGAGGAGGGCAGAGACAGGGAAGAGGCTGAGAGTCCCAGAGCAGCAGCACAGAAGTCAGGTCTGCCCCCGACAGGTCTGGGCGGGGAGGTGTGTGGCTCTGCAGAGTCCGCACGTCCTTCCACACGTGCATCATCTTTAGTGTGTCCACCAGAGATTCGCCTCGTGTGATGGACATCAGCTTTCTCATGGCAAAGGCAGGACTCTGAGCTCGATGTCATCCTGATGATCAGCTGCCTTATTCATTCATGACTTCCTGGCAGATGCTGCCATTATTCCCACCTGAGAAAGCAGGAAACACGTTCCTAAAAGTTGGGTAACTTCCTCTATAGCTTCTTATGGGAATGGTCGAGATGGAGCCAGTCGGGGCGTAGGGCCTGCCATCCTCACCACTCTGCTGAGGAGGAGCAGCCCCCCCAGCACTCGCTGCCAGATGTCTATACTGATTGTAACCCGAAAACTGCTCTGTTTTCAGCTATCGTGTGTGGACTGTATCCGCCAGGTGCTGCTCAGGTCTGGGTTGCCCCTAACCTTGGGTTGTTTTCTGCGTTCTCTTTTTTATATTCTGTCTCTGCTTCTAAGTATTAGATTGACTTGTGGGTTACGTTTTTCCTGAAACACAAGAGTTTTAGAATCTGTTATAATTTTTTTCTTTCAACCTGGCTGCATATTAGAATTACCTGGGGAGTTTTTAGACAATATACATGCCCAGGCCCACCCCCTAAAGATTGCAGTTTCATTGTCTGAGGTGGGATCCTGGCTCAGGTGTGTTTTTTTAAAAGCTCCCAGCAGATTCTGATGTCCACCCAGAGTTACTAATCACCATTCCGTGCCATGTAGGTAACCCCAATCGGGCCGCCAGGCAGTGTTCTGTCAGAGTCACCAGTGAACCACACTCTCTCCCTTTTTTCTCTACGGCCTTCAGCCCCCCATTCCAGACCCTAACAACATGCGAGACTTTGTCAGCTACCCCTCGGCCGGCAACGAGCGCCTGCACTGCACCATGAAGCGCACGGAGGATGACCCAGAGGTGGGAGGCCCATGCTACACACTCTACCTGGAGTACCTGGGCGGGCTCGTGCCCATCCTCAAGGGGCGGCGTATCAGCAAGCTTCGGCCAGAGTTTGTCATCATGGACCCCCGGACGGATAGCAAATCAGGTGGGTTCCCTCACCATAAGGCCTGGCGCCTAGTTGTCCAGTGTGGCTCCTGACAGCCCAGGCAAAGAGAATGCCCATGTGGATGTGGGCAGGCGTGGAACATCTTCGGAGCTATGCCATTTCCAAATGCCTGTGGAAGTTAGTGATTCTCTACACGTACTTTTTGATGGGACTTTGAACCACATGATCAGCTTCATGTGGTGGGGCTGTCAGTGAAGGGGAAGCTGGCCCAGGGCTCTGGAGTGATAGGTTCCTCTTCCAGTGGATAGTGTTCACTGAGGGCCTCAATGTGCTGTTGAGACAACCTGCTTGTAATAGTGAGGTCTGTCCCTGCCCCCACCTCAAATGAAGGATAGAATTAAAATTTCCAAACCTTCAGCCTACTCTCATCTCCTGCCACAGGGCTGCTCTGTCCCTCACTAATCGACTGTGAACTGCTTTGTCACTGATTACCAAGGAAAACTCCTTGCTCATTCATAAAGATCTTGTTTGATGAACACTTCTCCCTTCCAGAACCCTTTCCTCTATAGCTTCGTTACTCGGCGGATGTACTCAGGGTGCTCCCTGCACACCTGTTCGTGCGATTCTGCTTTGTGAGCCTCTAGACCAGTGGTTCTCAACCTTCTGGCCCTTTAAATACAGTTCCTCGTGTTGTGACCCAACCATAAAGTTATTTTCGTTGCTACTTCATAACTGTAATGTTGCTACTATTATGAATCGTAATGTAAATATCTGCTATGCAGGATGGTCTTAGGCGACCCCTGTGAAAGGGTCATTTGACCGCCAAAGGGGTCGCGACCCACAGGTTGAGAACCGCTGCCCTAGACAGAAGGACTTTGTTCTTTTTGTTTGTACTAACTATTCCTGCCCAGTGTCCTCAGCCAGTACCTGTTGAGGCCTGAGCGCCCGTCAGCAGTACCTGCCAGCTCAGACGTTCTGCCACCCCCTGACAGTAGACTACACTCCCATGTCCTCTGTGCCTGTCCCCTGTCAGTCTGGCTGCTGAGATCCCAAGAGGCTGGGCTCTGTCTGCCCCCGAATTCTGAGGGCCTGGGGGGAAGGACTGAGTCATCTCTCTATCCCCAGTGCCTGGCAAGCACCTAACCTTGAAATAACATGAGTTAAATGAGGTCTGTTTGCATTAGTTTCACACTTGTTCTTCCCCGTCCTAACTCCCATTCATCCTCTCTCCCATAGACTGGCTTGTGCCCCTGGTTATGTCCCTGAAGCCACTGTGACCTCTGGTCTGACCGGAGTTATCCTAGAGGCACAGTGCAATGGCTTTTTCAACCTTGGCCTCATTTAACCACTCCAGTATTCAATTGGATTATTTTTTCTTTTGACTCATGTGATGAACTAGTACCAAGAGCAAGGAGAGCGAGCAGAATAAATGGGGGCTGATAGGGAGGCAAGCGAAAAGGGGGAGGAAGGAAGCAAAGTGAGAAAACCAGAAGGGCTGTGGGTGTGAATTTAGAAGAAAATGTGATTCTTAGGGGATGGAGGAAGAAAGGAGCCATTGAGGATTAGAGGTGACCGAAAGAGGGAAGGAAGTGTTAAAGGCACTGAACCAGCGCACTCATCACGCCTTCTCATCTAGTGTCATTGTGGGTAAGGTTCCTCCCATGTATACAGTTATGTGAAACCCACACTCACAGTAAGTGCTGAAGGGAACTGACATGAATAGCTTGCTTCTGTCCCTGGGTGCATAATGTTCCCACTAAAACACAGGGCAGAAGAAGCAGGCGGTGTGCTGTAGGGTGGACCGCCTATTACCTCCTCCTCCTCCTCCTCCTCATGCTCACCCACTCAGCTCACACCACACACCCCCTCATTCAGTTGTTAACAGTCCTTTGGGAAAGGGATGTTCTATTTTTGTGATTAAAATAATGAAAACGTTGAAAAGCAAAGCAAATCAACAATACGTATTCAGTGACAGCTTTGTGCACTGTCCTGAGTCTCCTGTGGTTGTGAAGAAATACCAGGTGTGTCTGCTCTCACGCAGTGTATAATCCCTCTTGGGTGATAAGACAGCCTAACAGTTGAAAAGTTCAATAAAAAAGTCAAGATTTAAATATCTCAAGACAAGAACAGAAGACATGTCACAAGGCGGCAGCATATGACTAACCGCCAGCTGAATGGGCCATGGAAACTGGTTCAGAGGAGGAAAGGATTCCTGACTCCGGGAAGCCAGGAGCGTCTCCTGAGGAGAAGCTGGTTAAGTCAAGCCTCCACATCACTGTTTCCCCACCTCCTGGGAGGCTCTGGGCCTTATGCCCCTTCTGTGCGTTCAGCGGGGCTGTGGTGAGGCCTAGAAATCTGTAACATAATGGGCACCCGGTGACTTATGCTCTAACGATTGAGGCCCACTGTTGTCAGTGTCTTCCAAGTAACTTAACAAATATGTTCCTCAAAATTACCAGTGTGTATTTTTATAATAGCATGAGTCCCAATAAAAAATACATATATTATAAATGAATATATATTTAAAATATATAT